AAATTATTTTTACTAAAAAATAATAATTTTTTATTAAAATTATGTAAAATATAAAATAATAAATCTTTCGTATATATATTTTTATTATGTTAATTATTGTTTAAATATATATAAATAAATTAATAACTTTTATGTTTTCTATTTTATTTAATTTTAAAATTTTATATATTTTACAAATAAAATAATTTATATGTTTAATAATAGTAATTATTTTAAATTTATAAAAATAAAAATATAATTTAATAAATTAAATATATTAAAATTAATTAATAAATACTGCTATAAAAATATATTTATATGTTTTTTCAGTAAAACAGCTCTAAAAGCTCTTCAAAATATTTTTTCCCAAACACCCTCTAAATAAAAGTTCATAAATGATGTAATCAATACAATAATTAACATTAATGACAAATTAACAATTTTACTCATTAAATTAATTTAAGCCGTTGATCAATTTTAAAATCTAATGATTAGAATTTATTCAATATGGTGTTGAACTTATAATTCAACACCATACTCTGAACCGATCATCTATATATAAGAATGAGATAGAATATTGTGTTGATTAATTAGCATGTAACCCGTTATTTTTTAAAAAAAATGATTATTGTTATATACTGTCTATGTTTTATATATATTGTTAATATATAACTGTGCAAGAATTAATTGTAATATATACTGTGTAAATTATTACCATGTACTATTAGGATATTGTTTTGTCAATTTAAGTTAGTTTATATTGTATGTTCTACTTAAAATTTTAATCAATACTTTAAAATTTTACATTAGTTATATATTGTACTTCTTCCTCTCCATTTAAAATATTCATTTGTTGTTTTTATTTTTTTAATAGTAGTTTAAAAAAAATAATACTTCTTCTTCTGCTTCTGTCCATTTAATAAGTTTATATTTATCTTTTATATTATTGTACTTAACATTAAAAAAATATTCTTATATTTATATAATTCTTTTTGTATAAATGTTTTTTTTTTAAGTATTATAAGACACTGATAAAAGTATTTTTGTCATATGTCTTTGATTTGTAGTACGCTTTAATATAATAATTAATACTAAAAGATCAATACGCAAAAAATAAATGTACACTTTCAAAGTAGATGGATGGAGTATTTTATTAATTAGATGAAGTGTTTAAGATAATTTTGATATTTTTGCTCTTGTAAGTACAAAAGAAATGAATATTATTGTATTTTATAAAAGTTAAAAGAGTATTTTGCGATTTGTATTTTGACCAGTAAATTATCTAATTTGTGATGTTTGATAAATTAGCGTTTTCAATTAGCTTATTGTTCAAAAAACTAATTTTGAAAAAATTGTATCCCAGCGTTTCAGATTAACTGTTTTATTTTAATCTTTCTATTTCTTATTTGCCCTCAAAACTAATTAATTCTTTCACATATATTAATATATTTTTTATTATACTATTTATTAATTATTTGGATATATTTTCTTCTAAGAACCTATAAATTCATATTTATAAATTTAAAATAATTATTTTTTATATGTCAATTATATTATATATTAAAATTTTAAAATGCCAATTATATTATATATAAATTTTTTAAAATTTTAAAATAAAGAAAATATAAAAAAATATTAATATTATTAATTCATTTATATAGTATTTTTATAGCATAAATTTTTTTATTAAAAATGAATATATTTATTTAAAATTATAAATTTAATGTAAATATATATTAATTAAAAATTAATCTAATAGAAATACATATACTGATTATTTTTTTTATATTTATATCATTTTTAATGAAAAAAATACATTTTTCAATAACTTTGCATTAATTTTTTACAAAATATTTTAAAAATAATAAAAATAAATATTTTAATAAAAATTTTCTAATTTTTAAAATTAATATTAAAATTCTAGAAAAGCCTATCCACTAAAAACCTCAACTAAATATTTTGAAAATAAAATATAAGATGTTCTTAATTATCATTTTAGGTATAAAATTGATATTTTACCGAACACTTTAGCACAAACAACTAATATATTCAACTAGTCAAACCAACTAATTGCCAAACACCCCATATATTATTAGTAATATCAATTTTTTTAAAGATATGTCATATGTAAATAGTGGGTTTTATATATTGTGTTTTACCTTTTACCTATTATCAATATTCTTTTGATCTCACCTTTTTTTTATTTTTTTCATTTATTTTTTTTATTTTTTAATTTTAATTATAATTTTTAATTATCTTAATTTTAATTTATAATTAATTTTATTATATAATAATTATTTTTATAAATAATTTTTAAACAATTACTAATTATATTTTAGCTAAATTCTTTTATTCATAATAGATTGGAAACAAAATGTAAAATAAAGAAATATTATTTTACTTAATGTACTAACACGCACTTACCCTAATCTTTGACTTCTTAAACAAAATCCAATTTTAAATTGTAATCGTGAAACGTACGGACACATACATACATGTTGAAAAGAAAACCACTTAATAATTGTTAAAATATTTTAAGTCGATTTTTAAATTGAATTATATATATATATTTATAAAGTGAGAATTCGAAATCGCTACCGACGAGTACGCACTGGGTAAACTCCCGGGCGAATATAATACATTACAAACTAAATCCGATAAGACAAGTCACACTAAACGAACCATACGTGATAGATAAAACCTGGAAGCATCGATGTTTCAACTCATGACTTTACTGAATCCATCTCCATTGTGTTATAGGTAAGTTAGATAATCTATGATCTTTTATGTTAGTTAAAATTCATTGGTTAAATTTATAAAAAATTTATTTATAGTTATGTATATTTATTGATAATTTTATTATCTTTATTATTATTATTATTATTATTATTTTAGTTGCCCTATTGTTTTTTCCTTAATTTTTTAAAAATTTTTGTGATACTACTATTTTTTTTACCCCATTTAATTTTCTTTACCCCATTTATATGTTAAAACGATACTCCTTTCGTCTGCCTCTAAGAGTCACTCACATTTACTTTTTGTGTCATTGTACTTAACATTAAAAATATCATTATATTTATATAATTTTTTGTACAAATGTTATTCTAGTAGTATTATAAGATACTAATGAAAGTATTTTTTTCAATTTTTCCTTAATTTATACTACGTTTTAATATAATAATTAATATTCAAAGATCAACTTGTAGAAAATAAATGAGACTGGTGGAGGTAATATTATTTCTTAATCTTTATTCTCAAATGAAAAATAACATAATTTTTTTCAAACGAACAAAATATTATAAATTATTTAATATATCTATATAGTGCGTACTAATAAATATATATTAAAAAAATTAGTATGATTTTTAAACTGCTAAAATATACTACATTTACTACTAAAATATATATCAAATTGAAGACAAATAAATTTAATTTAATTCTTATGTGTTATTTAAAATTAATATAAATTATTAATATGAAAAGCACTATATATTTATTGTTTTTTTTAACAATTTAATTATACTTTTTTTCGCTAAAATTATCTCATTATTCATTTTTTGATAGTTCGATAGAATTATGCACAATCATTTATAGTAAACAATTTTATCAACTCACAATTCTATTAATTCTTATAATAACTAATGTGTCATTACTTTTTCTATTTATCCTATTATTTTTTTTCTCAATCATTTAATAAAATTTTTATAATATCTCACTTTACTTTTTTATCTTCTTTGTTCTAAATTTCATATTAAAATATTATTATTTCATCTTTGTGTCCAATTAAACATACTTAATTTTACAAGATAGAATGAGTATTAAAAAATTATTTATGTTTATAAGACAATTGCAAATATAATTTTAGTCTTATCTAAATTTAATTGTGCATAATTTCTTTTACCATCTATGTTAGAATTAAAATAATAAATTTAATGACATTGCTACATTAAATTTAAACAGTACAATGTCAATATAATATTTATATATAAAAATACCACGAATTATTTAATTTTTTCAAAAAAAATATGAACATATATATATACTTAATTTTGTAGTTGTTGTGTACGAGACTAATTATGTTGACAGTTCGAAGGCATGATTCATTAATATTGCGCCATTTGTTATGTTTGTTCCGATAAGACAAGTTTCTCGATCTACAAAGAGACTGGGGGAAAAAAGATATACATGGCAACCATGAGTCTTTCAAAGTCAAATGAGTGGGAGTGGCGGTGCAAAAAATGACTTCCAAGAAAATATTTAACCCTGAAGAATATTGATGTATCAGACATCTGCAAGAACCTCATCACGGGATCGCTAATAGTTAGACATGATTTTAAACTAGTCTTCGTAGGATATAGATTTATTTTATTGAAAATGAAATGTTTTTAGTTAGAGGCTATTTTTTCAATGGAATGTTCAAATTGAATTTAATGGCAGTGTGCAGAGCACCGATTATAAATAATAATAATAATAATAATAATAATAATAATAATAATAATAATAATAATAATAATAATAATGTTGGACATGGGTCCAAAAGCACCTGAACGTGAAGGAGACTCAAAGATAAAAGTGGAGTCAGAGCTCATTGGCCACGGAGCCGCTCAACAGCAATGGAGCTTCAGGCCTTGGAGCCAAAGACTGCTGCCTCCACAGAGCCGAAGACAACAGTTTCCATTGGATTGTGGTGCTTCCACAGGGCCGAAAGCAGCAGCCTCCATGGACCTTAGGGCAGCAACTCCTTGGACTATGGCACCTCCATCCCGGAACAATGTTTCCATAAGGTCAGAAAGTGTTATCTCCACTGGGTTGAAAACAACTGCCTCCATTGGACTGTGATGCTTCCACAAAGTAGAGGAAGGTTGCCTCCACAAGATAGAAAGCAACAGCTTCCACAGATCATGGGTTAATAATTTCGTACTTAATATCAGTGGAGGGCCTATGCATTTTCCTACTTTATTAAAAAAGCTCTATGGAACAAGCCAACAAGAGTAAAACCGAAGATTACATTTAACTCGAGGCTATTGGGGATACATCCCCGTGGACCGGCTAGGAGTACGGTGGAAACAAGTCGGAGTAAGCAGCAGATCTGGTCCAGAGGCAATAGAAGAAGTTCAGAGCAAATGGAACCCGGTCCAGAGGCAATGGAAACGGTTGGGAGCTGATGGAATGAGGTTACCAGGTGGCTTAAGAGCTGATAGAAGGAGGTTACCAGGGAACTAATGGAATGAGGTTACCAGACAGTTGGAGGTAGTGGGAGGAGGTTACCATGCAGTTTGAGGTAATAGTGGGAGGTTACCAGGCGGTTGAGAGTGGTGGAGGAATAATTGGAACTGCCCATTTTAGTGGGAAGAGGTGGTTATTCTATCTTAGGATTAAAACTAGGAAAAAACACATCACACACACGCACAATAAGATGAACTCGTATTTTTCTCTATTTACTTTTCATGTTTTAGTTTCGTTTTATGCATTTTAATTTGAATTTGTGTAAACTTGTTAAGTTGCTACACGAACTGAAACAAGAACATTTGCAATGACACTTAAAATTTAATAATATAATGTTATCAAATGGCTTCAAGATTGACGAATGTGACAAATACGTTTACATCAAAGAAACTTCTATTGGATTTCTTATGCTATGTTTATATGTAGACGAATTGTTGATTATGGCGAATGAAATTAACTTAATTGAAGAAGTTAAACGCATGTTAAGACGAAACCTTAACATGAAAGACATGGAAGTCGCTAATGTGATTTTTGAAATGCAAATTATTAGAAACAGTAAAATAATTGTCTAACTTAGTCTCACAATGTCGAGAAAATATTGAGATGGTTTAATCTTTCAAGAATATTCCAGCAAAAACACTCATGGACCTAAGTGTTCAGCTGAGCAAAAACAAGGTGATTCTATTGTGCAGGAAGAATATACCAAAATAATCGGGAGCCTTATGTACCTAACTAATTGTACAAGGCTCAATTTAGCTTGTCCAGTGAATAAGCTAAGTCATTATACTAGTAATCCAACTCACAAACATTGGAAAATACTAGATAGAATCTTGGGTGTTTAAAATATATATTCTTGAATTTGGCATACACTACACAAGATATTCCTCAATACTTGAAAGATACTGTGATGCAAACTGGATATCTGATATGAAAGATTCATTGTCTACAAGTGAATATATCTTCATGATTAGAAGAGGAGCCATTGTTTGGAAGTTCGTGAAGTAAACTTGTATAGCTCGATCCATTATGGAATCAAAATTCATCGTTTTAGATAAAACCGATAAAGAAGCCGAATGACTTAAAAGTTTTCTAGATGATATTATATTTTGAACAAAATCAATACCTCCGGTTTTGATTTATTGTGATAGCCAAGCAGCTATAACAAAGGCTAAGAATGAAATTTATAAAGGTAAATCCCGACATATCGAACACGTACACAACATTGTAAGACCATTGATCACTAGTGGGGTTATAATTGTTGATTATGTTAGCTAAATAGAAAATCTTTCAGATCCCTTAACTAAAGGGTTACATCGTGACCAAATATTTAAATTGCTAAAGAAAATAAGTTTGAAATTCACAAGTTAAAGGACAATTCCAGTGGTAACCTAACCAAATTATTTGGAGATCCCAAGTTTTGATTCAATGGAAAAAATAATTTGTACTAATTCAGCACGAACACTCGATCACTATTTCTTACAAAGCTACGAGTGTTACGAAGTGCAAAATAGTGAGGTTGAGTCACCGACTCTTAATAATCTTAAAAGTAGAGTTGGATACTTTAAGATATTATTACATATATGAGTGTGAAGTGAGGACCACTTCAAATTAAATTTTACGAATCCAAAGATATGATACATGGCCAAAACAGATTAAAACATGAGAATAAAATAAGGTTGAGATAGAGACATGTCAATATTATTGATTAAGATGCACACCAAGATAGAATAGTTCAATGCATAGTGTCAACTAGGCCACAAGTGCATATAATGATATTGACTAAGGAAGATTCAACCCACAAACTACCTATCATGACGTGTCGATATCTCTGGAACTGAATTGTGTTTTGTTCTAATTATGAGTATTTCCACTTATGTGGGTTATTGTTGAATTATTGGTTAATTAATCAATAAAATTTAATTATAAATTCATAAATTTTTAAATCGATTATTCGGTGAGTTAAAATACATATATGTTATGCATTAGTTATTAATAATGTGGTTTAAACACATGAATTCCGGTAAAAGCACATGTGTGCACTGCTTTCCGAACCAAATAATATGGTTATGGGATTGAACTTGAGTTTGGTAAATAATTGGATTAATGTAATCCATAGAAGATTAATTGAATTGATAAATATGTTTTTTTTTTGTCAGACCCGAAATCTTTGAACCAAAATGTAAGCCTAAAAGTTACCTTTGTAAGTATGATTGGAAATATAGGATATGATAAGAGGAACCTAACCTTACAACTTACATGTGCCTAATCAGACTCAATGGATTTGGACCGACCGACTTTGTTCATCTCTCTAATACTCCCTCCGTCTCGGAAAAAATTAATCATTTGGTTATGGACATGGTATTTTAGGTAATTTAGATTAGTAAATTATTTTATTATTGTTTATATGAATAATTTTGTTGATATTTTAAATATTATTAGTATTATATCTCAATAAAATATATGCAATATAAATATTATTTTGTAGAAAAAAAAGATTTTATATAATAAAAATAAATAAAATAATATATTTATTTATGTATTTATAATTAACTTAAAACTATTTTATAAAAAAAATGAAAATTTTTAAATATAGACAAAAATATTTCCTTGTTGAAGAGAGATAAAAATAAAGGAGTTTTGAGTGAGCTAGAAATTTAATTAAATTGATTTATATTTTTTAAGTATGTTTAAGATGAATAAATTTACTAAGAATATAAAGAAATCATATTTTGTGCAACGGATAAAAAAGAAAAATTGATCGTCTGTAGCGAGACATGGGGAATATGAAAATATTAAGAGTATATTCGTTTAATGTTTTAAATATATACGATTATAAAAAATACAAAATATATATAATAAAATTTAATAAAAACACATGAAATTAAGTATCATTTCAATATGTAGTAATATCTTTACAATTCTTCATATATCAAACAAAAACACCTAAATTATAAAAATTAATGAAATTATTGTCCATTTGATTTTATGATATGTTGGAATTTTTGTTGATGATTATTGAAAACTTTGAAAATATTAGAAAATTGGATAGTTTATTTTGTATTTTTTTACGAATGTAGTTTTTATCTATTAAGTATGGAGAATTGATGTTGATATAAAAAATAATATTTTATATTAAATTATTAATTTTTTATGAGTCTATAAAGTATATAAATTATACACCATCCGTCCCAACTACCGTGTCCTCATTACTTTGGATATGAGGATTTAGGATGAGTATAATTAGTAAATAATTAAGAATGTATCAGTGAAAATATTTATCATATAATAAAAATGAGATCAAAGTGTATAATTTTTTTTTCCAAAGAAAAAAGTGAAAGAATAAGTGAGACAAACAGAAATAGAAATATGGACATGGTAAGTAGAACGGATGGAGTATATATTATGGTTATGTACGTGTATATTATATTTTTTAAATAATATTTATGAGAAATTATTCTATTAAAAAGTGTGTTTGTTTGATTGTTTGAATTTTTTTGTTGGGATTTGAATAGTAAAATTTTTGAATTGAAATAGGTGAATGATGTAATATCTTGAATATAAAATTAATTTTTAGTATAATATAAAAAATAAAAAATAAATATTTGATTTGATATTTTTTTTAAAAAAAAATTGGTAAATAATAAAAATCTGGAAAATAATTGATAAAAGAACAAAACAGATCCATATTACTTAGGTAAAATAATTCTCTATATATATATATATTGTGCCATAAAATAATTTTTTAATTAGAAACATTGAATTTTATTTTTAAACATGTATAGAGAAGAAGTGCGTAAGAGTAGAAAACTGAACTTAAAATATTTTAGAATTCATCATTTAAGATGCAAACCTTTTTCTTCTAAAATATAAATATAAATGTACCAATTCCGCACATGAATTTATCATATACCCAACCTATCGTGCTGCTAGAATAATTAGGGGTGCGCTTATTCGGGTTTTTTTTATTTTTTCCAGGAAAATTTAGTTCTAATTTATATTTAATAGTTTATTTTAACTTTTTTTTAAAAAAAAATATACTTCATTAGTCTCAATTCAATAGTTTTTTTTTTTTCTTTTTATCTGTTTCATTCATTCTAAAATAATAGTAGGTTTTTTTATATATATAATTAATCATATTATCATGAAACCAATACTAGGTTTTTTTATTATATAAATATCAATATTTTTAATACTAATACACTTAAAACAAAAAAAATTATTTTTATACATATTTTCTACCAACTATTGTTATAATATGGAAATAGAGGAAATATATTTTTATTGAAAAATATAAATAGTAAATAGTAAAAAATCAATATATAAAAGTTCAATATATATATATAAGTTCAAAGAAACACAATTGAATTCTATTTAAATAGAAGTTTTTATATTTTTTTAAATAATAAAAAAATAGATATTTAATTTAACATTTTTAGATAAAATAGTCTTTTCATCCGGATCTAATAGTTTTGTTTTACAATTTATGTTCATTCCAAAACAATAGTTTCATTTCTATAGATGATCATAAAATCGTAAAATTATTCTTATTTTTTTTATTTTTATTACACAAATATCACTACTTTTTACGTTTTAAATGAACACACAATCACAAAGACCAAAAAAAAAAAATAATAAAATAAAATTATATTTTCTACCAACTACTATATAATATCAATATTTTTTAGATTTTCTGTCCAATATAAATCAATCTATTCTTTTGGGACCAAAGGAATATTAGTTTTGAAGATTGTTAAACCTGTCCAAAGTGTATAAAAAACAAATATTAGATATAATTCAAACTAATTGGATAAATCGAATCTACTCAAAAACATATCCTTAATGGACAACTCTCAAATCAATTTGATCATAATGAATAAATATAATTTATATATTCTTTACTTTCCTAACTTCTATTGAAAAATAAAAAATAAAAAAATGCAATAATAATCACATGAAATTTTGTATTGATTGAATCAAATTAATATAATGTTGATTTGATTCAATATATATAATAAGACAACAAACATATATTTGCAATTCTTAATAATACAAATACAATTACTAATATAATTTCATATAATACGATCTATTATTTATTTCAAATATACTTATAAAGTACAACACAATATATAAATTATATTTCTCTCTGTAGAACCAATCAAATCAGCAGATTATTTTGAAATATCATTTTTTTTTATTTTAACATTTATTTGAAAATAATGTTTAAATATTCCCTCTGTCCCATGTAATATGGGCTTATACTTTAGATATGAGAGTTTAAGTAAAGTATAATTGCTAAGTAATTAAGAAGTGTATTAGTAAAAATAATTATTGGGTAGTAAATAATTATAGATTAAGATTCAAATAATTAGATAGTTTAATTAAAATTTAAAAAATTATAAAATTTAAAAAGTGATTAAAATATATAATCATATTTTTTTTAAAAAAAATAAATTATGCAGAAACGACGAAATAAAAAATAGGAACAAATTATATGGAATAAAAAGAGTATCACATATTTACAATATAAAAAATTTAAATCAAATTTCAAACCAGAAATGTTCTTTTATTTCTTTTTAGCTTTTTCATCTCTCCCAATTACTACTTTAAAATAGAGTATTTTTTTTTTATAAAATATTATATTAAAATATTATTTAACCTCAAATTAAAATAAAATAAAATAGTTAAACACACACTCCTAATATTCCAATAGTTTCAAGTTGACAATCACCATTCAAATAAAGCCAAGTCACTTTCCACTTTAATTTGGCCGTCAGTTTATTTATTTATAATACATGGGTTAAGAAAAAAATTAATTCAAATATATATTTTAGTTTTATCTTCATTATATATTTCTCCTATTCCAATTGAATTTTTTTTTATAGGTATGTTTCACTAAAAATAATTATTAATTTTAATTTCTATTATAGCCAAAATAATAGCATGTTATATTAAATACTTTTTATTTGAATAAATTGGATTATATTTTTTGTGTTTTAATAAAAATATACAATATACTTCGTTTTATTGTATTAAATATCTTTCGTGTTAAACTAAAATATATACGGAATTTTTATTTTCATCTGAAGCTGATATTTAATTGTAAACGCACACCTAATTATAACAGTTTTATAAAAGTTAAAAAAAAAATGATAAAATGTCTTAAATAATATTTTTTTGAATAAACTAAATAATTAAATTATTTATCAACCATTCATTTAATGGTTTTTCTAGACAATTATTACCTAATCTTTATAAAAAAAAAAAATACTATCTCTGTTCCAGAAAGTGTCTTTTTTTTTTTTTTTGGTGTATCTCACGTACTTTGTATTTATTTTTTTAGAAATATAATTATACACTTTAATCACATTTTAAATTTCATATTCTATAATTTTTTTAATTTTAATTAAACTATTTAGCTATCTTAAAATACGTCTATAATTATTTTTATTATACAATAATTATTTTTACTAATAAATCTTTTAATTATTTACTAATTATACTTTACTTTAATTTTCGTGTCTACGGTAATCTGGACACTTTTTTTAGGACGGAGTGAGTATAAAATAGAATATTGATTATTTATTTATTTTATTCAAATAAAGCTATTTATCTATTTTATTTGTTTAAATTTTGGATACTTAGGTGTATATTTACAACCAATATTTGCTTTGGATGAAGAGGTTGTTTTGTGCATATTTTAATGAAACTAAAAGAAATTTTTACGCAATAAATAAAATATAAGGTATTGTGTACATTTAAATTAAAACAAAAGGGTTATTTTACTCAATTAAAAACATACCATTACATATATACATAAAGTACATAAGGTAAATATATCAAAATAATCTTACTTACTTTCACCAACAAAATTAATGAAACATAAAGAAGTTTCACACAATAAATAAAATAAGAGGTATGTTATACATTAAATTAAAGCAAGAGGTGTATTATGCTCAATTAAAATATATCTTTATTGTTAGAAATTTTAGGGAAAAATAATGAGATTGTATATTAATCATCAAAATAAAAGGCCAATATATAGACAACACATAATGGACTCGATAGACTCAAATCTAAGTAATCTTTTATATGGAGAAGACCAAATCTAAATATAGATCTACTAAATCTAAAACCAAATTTTATAGAAATATCTAAATCTAACATCCCCTCAAACTCAAAATGGGACATTAGAGACCAACTTGAGTTTGTCTAAAAGTAATCGGAAGCGGCCTGGAAGAAGAGACTTGTTGAAAATATCTGTTATCTGATCTACAGAGGATACTAGAACGAGATGATGTAACACTCTTAGTTGGCTCATACTGGAAATGCTCCCACCACACTGTATCATGAGGTCGTGACCTCCTACTTCGGGCTCCATAATACAGTGTTAAGGCTAAGATTAGCTATAAAAGCGCATGTTATGAACACAATCTGATTTATGAATATTTACAAAATATACTCCTAAACAAGTGGTTTTTTTGGTTAAAAATTTATATATAATACAACATATGTAAGTTCACTCACTTAGCCCGTCTTTCTATATCCCGAAACGTCCCCTATCCCGGAGGTGCCATACATACCTGAACCAAATATTTTTCTCAAAAACAATTTAGAATTAAATTCATTTTGAGAACTAACGTGAAATATGTCATGTCATACCTTTACTAAAGTCTAATATCTGTCATTCATAAAATACGTGTCATGTTATGTTATGCCAAGGGTGAAATGATACAACAAAGATATCAAACTCGACAACGATGCACATGCACATACATATACATCCGTCGAAGTGAGCAGCCGGAATAACCTCGGCTTCATAATAACAGATGACACGGCCCGGCCGCGTATAATTATAACCAACATAGTGTTCTTACTCACAAAGTTCAATAGAACAAATGGATTAAGAATATGTATAAAAGAAAAGAGAAAGAAGAGGAAATATAGTGCAGAGAGTGTGAATTAGTATAGATGATAACCAACCACGAGAATAAGTCTCGGACCTGAAATCAATCCATAGGTAAAACACAAACAATAGGCTAAATCCCACTGCAAAGGATTGGAAGCCACGAACCGATGGAATCACTTCAAAGACCCGATTTGAGATTCTAAATGCGAGGAAATCACTCCCTAACACTAGAAAATATAAAAGTGAAATTCAATTCAAGATGTAAAAAAAAAGGTTCTCATTACAATGATAGGTAAGGACCTTATATAGAAGTCCTTGAGGAAAATAAAAGGCAACAAATAATAAAGGAAACAAACCAAAAGGTAAGTTTAACTATAAGGAAATAAATAATTAGGGAAGTTTTAGATATGGAATTATACTATATTGAAACTTATAATAAAAGGAAATAAGTGATGATTCCCTTGATATACTTCCATGATTAGTGATTCTCTCCATAAGTGATGATTCCCTTGATATACTTCCATGATTAGTGATTCTCTCCATAAGTGAGGATTCCCTTGATATACTTCCATGATTAGTGATTCTCTCCATAAGTGATGATTCCCTTGATAACCTTCCATGATTAGCGATTCTCTTGATCTTTCAATTGGGATTCTTGCGGGTCCCATTGAAGGAGCGTCAGGTGAGGGCTAAGTGGTCTCCAAGCATCATCCTTAAATTGATTCTCCATGAAAAATCGTCTGATCAATGCAGTGACGGATTTTTGAAACTGACGAGCTCGGCTTCGAGTGATGGGTTCCACGGGCATTTGAATGCTTGAAGATTTGACGTCCTCGTCATTCCCTCCTTCTTGAAAAGCTTTCTTGTTCTCCCGAACAAGATATTCATCCGCTGCATCAAAAAGGCTTAAGTCAGAAACATTAAAAGTAGCATGAACTTGGTGCTCACCTGGGAGTTCAAGTTTGTAGGCATTATCATTAATGCGTTCCAACACTCGAAAAGGTCTATCGCCATGGGGAGTAAGTTTCGACTTTTGCAATTTTGGAAATCTTTCCTTCCTTAAGTGTAGCCAAAACCAGTCTCCTATCTCGAATACAACTTGAGAATGAAGTTGTTGGACAAATTCAGCCCTTTTTCTGCCATCAAAACAAACGTGCTCATTGCGTGGCAATGTCATAAGATCAAGAGGAGTTAATGGGTTAAAACCGAAAACAACCTCAAATGGAGAACAAGTTGTAGAGCTATGAATCATACAGTTATATGCAAATTTAGCATGAGCTAAAAATTCTTTCCAACTCTTCAAATTCTTATTAACTAAGGCACGTAACAAGTTTCCCATAGTTTGATTAACAACTTCTATTTGACCATCATTTTGTGGGTGGTGTGATGTGGAAAACATTAATTGTGTGCCTAATTTAGTCCAAAGTGTTTTCCAAAAATAACTTAAAAATCGAGAATCCCTATAAAAAAAAAAATGGATCTTGGAACACCATGCAATCTAAGAACCTCTTTGAAAAAATAATGAAGCAACATGCAAAGCATCAGTGGTTTTTTTGCATAGAATAAAATGTGTCATTTTTGAAAATTGATCAACCACAAAAAATATCGAATCTTTACCAGGCCTACTCCTAGGCAAACCTAATATGAAATCCATAGAAACATCAACCCAAGGGGATTCAAGAATAAGTAATGGAGTATACAAACCGTGTAGATGAACAGTAGACTTCAACGAGAAGCACGTTGTACACCGACGAATTGCGTCTTCAACTTCTGGAGAACGTACATAATGTTGCCATGTGAGCAGGGCCTGCACTAAGGAGTACAATTCCTTATCGTAGGTTGAGAAATTCAACGCAGGGCCATGTAGCTTTACACTAAAAAATGCAACGGGTCTCTTTTCTTGTGAGAGGACGGCGTCAATACCTACACCAGAGGCATCAAGTTCAAACGGTTTAAAGAAATCAGGTAAAGCAAGTACGGGTGCACATGTAAGTTTCGAATTTAAAGTATCAAAAGCATTTTGTTGTTCACTTCCCCACTCAAACTTATCCTCTTTTTTGATAACTGCAGTTAAGGGTGCTGCAATAGTGCTGAAGTTCCACACAAATTGACGGTAGAAACTTGCAAGGCCATGGAAACTGCGGATATCACGCACGCTAGTAGGTGTAGGCCACTTTTGGATGGCTGCAATATTCGCAGGATCTACACATACTCCATCTTTTCGTACAATAAAACCCAAAAAGTTGCACTTGTCGACACAAAAGCCGCATTTTTCAAGTTAGCATATAACTTCTCAGCCCGTAAAACATCTTAAACTGCTTGTAAATGTTCAATATGTGTTTCAATATAAGTATTATAAACAAGTATGTCATCAAAGTATACTACCACAAACTTATTTATAAAATTCCTTAGAACATGATTCATCAATCGCATGAATGTGCATGGGGCATTGGTAAGTCCAAATGGCATAACTAACCACTCATATAGACCAAAAGAAATCTTGAAGGCTGTTTTCCATTCATCACCTTGATTCATCCGAATTTGGTGATAGCCACTTTTTAAATCAATTTTTTTGAAAAAATTACAGAACCACACAAATTATCAAGCATGTCATCTAATCTAGGAATGGGATGACGATACTTAACTGTTATAGCGTTGACGGCTCGGCAATCCACACACATGCGCCAACCTCCATCTTTTTTTGGCACAAATAGGACAGGTAAAGCACAAGGACTTAGGCTTTCATGAATCCAACCTTTGCTCAGTAGATCCTCGACTTGCCTTTTTTTTTCCTTTACCTCATCCGGATTGGCTTGATAGGCTGACCGATTAGGAATTGATGCTCCCGGGACAAAATCAATTTGGTGCTCAATCCCACGAGTGGGTGGTAAACCATGGGGTACTTCATCAGGAAAAACATTATCATACGCCTGCAATAAGTTAGAAAAACTAGATGGAAGTTTGTTAGAGTCATTCATGGAAAAATAAGTAGGTTTAGAAAGTAATAGCAAACAATGAACTCCATGTTCCAAGCGTAAAGCTTCCTTCCTACACATAAAAAGATTAGACCTCTCACTCTTGTGTTTAATATTCCAGCAGGTTTCACCCAGAATCACAACACTCGTGTTAGATTTTTGAGTAGAAGGGTAGAGTATTTGAGAGTGGCTCGGGGCAGATGTATTTATTGGTAAGGATGAAGATTTGAGAGATTGAGGGGTAGTTAGGCTATATGAAAGAGTAGATGCACTTGTATCCGGAGTACCTTTTGCTGCGGGTGATTCTAAGGAGGACTTCAAATTGGACTCCTCTTTTCCTTTGTTGATATGTTGTGGAAGCGGTGCTTTAGGTGACTCTACAATTGGAGCAAGTTTAAACGGATTACCTTGCATCCTCTTTGATTTTAGTTGCTTCTCCACCTTTATGGCCAAGTGTACCATCTCCTTGAGGTCCACGTATTGGTACATCTCTACCGCATCAGCAATATCCCTTTGAAGCCCATTCGAAAATCTAGACATCGTTTGCTCCTGATCTTCATGGATATCAGCTTGTAGAAGAAGTGTTTCAAGCTCCTCATAGTACTCCTCCACTGACCGAGATCCTTGTTCTATGCTCTGCAATCTCCGCAATACTTCACGATGGTAATGAGGAGGAACAAACCTCTTCCACATGAGTGTACGAAGTTCTGTCCAAGTACGCACTGGAGCCTCCCTATTTCTGCGGCGGTTGATGCTCAATTGGTCCCACCATGCAAGGGCATAATCTGAAAACTCCATTACAGCCACACGGAGTTTTTTTTGGTCAGTTAATTGTTGAACATCAAAGATTAGTTCTAACCTTTGTTCCCATTGCAAAAATACTTCAGGGTCGGATTTTCCTTGGAACGGTGGCACTTGAAACTTGATCGAGTTGATAGCCTCATCTCCATCCCGTCGGTGATAGTTATTATGATGCTTACGTCGTTCCCAATTTCCTTCAAACTCCTCATCGTCGGGTTCGTCAAAGTTGTGTGGGGGTGGGGGCCGGATGTTGCGTCTTGGCCTCAAATGCGGTTGAACATCATTTCGCCTCTGAGTTTCCGGTAACGGTCGGATATTCTCCTGTAACTTTTGTTGATTCTCTTCCAGTTGATCCATCCTATTATTCATCAATTCCAATCGAGAATAGTGAAGAGTTTTGAACTCTTGTAGAATGGTATTGAGAAGACCTTGTACATCAACTTGTTGAGAATTGGGTCCTTCACCCCCTGCCATTAGAAAGAGACGAAAGAAAAAAAAAGAGAAAATAACCTCACTAGAACTCTCGTGTATCACTCCACACCTTATGTACCTCTCCGTCTCGCAAAAAGGACTCAAATCAAATCGATGGAATTCTCCCAAAGACGATAGCCAAAAAATCCAAGACAGTAGGAAAACCAAAAGAAATATAAGTTCAGAATGAAGGTAGAAGACAAATAATCTAAATAGATTTTTTTTCGTTTTTTTAATAAAAGAAAAGATGATTCGAGAACTATAAGTAAATAACAAATATCTTGATTTTTGATAATAATTTTTTTTTTCGTTTTTTTTTTCTCTTTTTTTTTTTGCTCTATTTTTTTGATTTTTTTTTTCAAATAAGAACCGTGATATCAATCAAGAGATTGTATCAACTAGCTCTGATACCAGATGACACGGCCCGGCCACGTATAATTATAACCAACATAGTGTTCTTACTCACAAAGTTCAATAGAACAAATAGATTAAGAATATGTATAAAAGAAAAGAGAAGGAAGAGGAAAGATAGTGCAGAGAGTGTGAATTAGTATAGATGATAACCAACCACGAGAATAAGTCTCGGACCTGAAATCAATCCATAGGTAAAACACAAACAATAGGCTAAATCCCACTGCAAAGGATTGGAAGCCACGAACCGATGGAATCACTCCAAAGACCCGATTTGAGATTCTAAATGCGAGGAAATCACTCCCTAACACTAGAAAATATAATAAAAGTGAAATTCAATTCAAGATGTAAAAAAAGAAGGTTCTCATTACAATGATAGGTAAGGACCTTACATAGAAGTCCTTGAGGAAAATAAAAGGCAGCAAATAATAAAGGAAACAAACCAAAAGGTAAGTCTAACTATAAGGAAATAAATAATTAGGGAAGTTTTAGATATGAAATTATACTATATTGAAACTTATAATAAAAGGAAATAAGTGATGATTCCCTTGATATACTTCCATGATTAGTGATTCTCTCCATAAGTGATGATTCCCTTGATATACTTCCATGATTAGTGATTCTCTCCATAAGTGAGGATTCCCTTGATATACTTCCATGATTAGTGATTCTCTCCATAAGTGATATAAGTGATGATTCTCTCCATAATAAAAGGAAATAAGTGATGATTCCCTTGATATACCTGGAATCATCCAAGGGAAACCCGGAAATTGTACTCCTCATTGCGCACCCTAACGGGATCATGTTTGGAGTTTGGCATATGATATCACTACCGATAGACCTCATCAATGGCCAACCCAATTAGTGGAAATAAGTCTCAACTACAATGGGTTTAATCCCTGAATAACCACGCAACTAAGTTATCCAATTGTCTGACTACTATCGTCCACTATCGTCAAAGTGTTACGGTACATTGAGGTCAAATACCCTAACCCCAAATAATATCCTCACCTCGCACTACCGCACACGGAGACTAAACGATAGATCCATAAAAACATATCCGATAAACCGTACAATATGTGTGTAACATATCAAATAAGTGAATTACCGAAAAGGGCTGGTGAGATAGCTCACATATCATCCATTTTCATAAATTCACTAACATGATCAAATATGTATATCAAATATCATAAAATGCGAAGTCTCACACATGCATACGCGCACATATATATAAATATATACATACACTGACCAAATATCCATATAATATCACATGCAAAAATAAAAAGTAGACCCTTTAAAAATAAAATATACTATTTTTTATAAATTTTATTTTAAATCATAAATGTACTAATCTCATAACATATTTTACAAACAATAGAATTACAATAATAGTAAATGTAAGTGTTGTAAGAAAACGAGAAAGAAAGCAAATAAAGAACACAGAGATTTTACGTGGTTCGGTGACGGTGTGCCAACCTACGTCCACGGGCAGGAACGGGAGAGATTTTATTATACTGATTCAGAGATTTACAATTATGTCATCCGACTAAGAACCATAGCTATCTATTTATAAGCATCCCAAAACACCCTAAACCCTAAGTCTATTTGTTATTAATTAGGATAAGCCCAAAAGGAACCCTGCCAATTGAAACAGCCATTTCACTTTGGTTTCGGATCGGGTAGATCGTTAAATCCAAGTCACGTTTCAACAATCTCCACCTTGACTTAGAGTTTCTCCAACCGCCAAAGGTTCGTCAGTATCTCTCAGTCGTCTCCTTCCTGCCAGATGCCCCGAGAGGGCTTTACCTCCTGCAAATATTCACCAAGTTCAAGAAGTGCTCAAACTTCTCCGTCGGTAGCGTCTTTGTCAACATATCAGCTGGATTGTGTTCTGTAGCTATTTTCTAAATAGAAAACCTGTCTTCCTCCAGAACATCACGAATAAAATTCAACCTTACATCAATATGTTTGGTTTTCTCATGATACATTGGATTTTTAGCCAAACTCAAAGCATATTGATTATCACAGAATAACACCGGTTTCTCTACCTTCAGATCCAAACTCTGCACCAGACCATGTAACCAGATGCCCTCCTCAATACCTTCAGTCATTGACATGTATTCCGCCTTAGTTGTCGACAGTGCAACTGTAGGTTGTAAAGTAGACTTTCAACTGACTGCACATCCAAACAGAGTGAAGATAAAGCAAGTCAGTGATCTTCGTTTCACCAAGTCACCTCCGTAATAAGAGTCTGCATAGCCAACAAGACCATCACCATGGCCTTTATCATCACATACTAGACAAATATCAGACGATCATTTCAAATATCGCAAGATCCACTTTACAGTTCCCCAGTGAGCCTTACCCGGATTAGCCATAAACCTGCTTACCACACTAACCGCATAAGCGAGATCCGGTCTCATACATACCATCCCATACATAAGACTTCCAACTGCACTTGAATATGGAACCGTCTTCATGTAGCTAACCTCTTCATCTGTACCCGGTATAGTTCTTCGATCAAGTTTAAAGTGTGCCGCCAAAGGGGTACTTACCGGTTTGGACTGATCAACAGAGAATGCCTGCAAAACTTTCTCAATATACTTTTCTTGAGAAACCCATAGCCGTCCTGCTTCTCTATCACGCCAGATCTCCATACCAAGTATTTTCTTTGCCGCACCCAAATCCTTCATCTCAAACTCACCTTTTAGTAGAGCTTTCAAGTCATTAATTACAACCGTGTTTTTAGCTGCAATTAACATATCATCCACATACAACAAAAAATACACAAAGGAATCAGTAGAAACTTTCTTCGAGTAAACACAGTTATCAAACTGATTACGAGTATAACCATTAGACACCATGAATGAGTCAAATCTTTTGTACCATTGCCTCGGAGACTGCTTCAAGCCATACAGAGATTTCTTTAACAAGCATACCTGGTCCCCTTTAGAACTGCAGAAACCCTCCGGTTAAGACATGTAAACTTGTTCTTCTCGATTACCATGAAGGAATGTTGTTTTTATATCAAGCTACTCCAACTCCAGATCAAAAGCATCCACCATTGCCAAAAGAACCCGAATGGTTTTGTGTTTCACCACAGGAGAAAAGACTTCATGGTAATCGATTCCTTCCTTCTGTGAGAACCCTTATGCCGCCAATCTCGCCTTGAACCTAGCAGGTTCAACACCAGGAATTCCCTCATTTCTTTTAAAGACCCACTTGCATCCCACTGGCTTCACCCTTTTTGGTAGTGCAACAAGATCTCAAGTCTTGTTTTTTTCAAGAGACTGCATCTCTTCATTCATTGCCATAATCCAGGTTTCTGCATCTTTACTCGCCACAGTTTACTATCATTCACATGAGCGTATACATGGCATCCAAATATTCTTATATTAGAGTAATCAGAGGATTTACCGGATCATACCTCTTGAGAAGTCTTTAAGTCAATTGCAGTTGATAGAGATCTATTAACCAGATAGTTAGCAATGTTAACTGCTTCAGCCCAGAATTGCTTAGATAAACCAGCAAATATGCGCATACACCTAGCGCGCGCTATGAGGGTTTGGTTCATTCGCTCTGCAACTCCATTTTGCTGTGGTGTGTGTTGTACATTGCGGTGCCTCACTATACCTTCTTTCTTGCAGAAATCATCAAATGGAGCGTTGCAGAATTCCAACCCATTATTAGTTCTTAGAGTCTTGACCTGCTTACCCATCCGTTTTTCAACCATGGTCTTCCACTCCTTGAACTTACCAAACACCTCATCTTTAGTCTTCAGAAAGTACACCTAGAATTTTCTCGAATAATCATCTATAAAAGTGGCAAAATAAGAACACCTGCCCTGCAATTTTACCGGAGAGGGACCCCATAGATTTGAATGAACATAGTCCAGAATTTATTTTGAAGTGTGATGACCGATAATAAACCTCACCCTGCGTTGCTTCCCTTTTACACAAGCCTCATAGAATTGAATTTTACCTATCATATCCCGACCAAATAAACCCTGCTTGCTCAACACAGACAACCCTAGCTCACTCATGTGACCTAATCGAAAGTGCCACAAATTTGTCATATCATCATGTTTATGCAAGGACTAGGATACTGCCACC